GGCTTCAGGGGCTTGGGGCTAACAGGTCTGGATCCTGGTATCAGATGCCAAAACAGAAGCAAGCTGCTGGTGGGTCGTTGCTCGGTGAACCGAACGGGAAACAGCAGCATGCCGTACGAGCTGATGGCCAGCAGTCGAGACGCTTGGTTCTGGGCCTATGGCATCATACCCTCCGACTGGCGCCCAGGAAGAGCAGGAAGCTTGCCTGCAACCCCACCACTCGCACGCTCATCGTTGGAGGGTTTGGAAGGGTTTGGAGGGGTCGGTGGAGGGTCGAAGGAGGGATGAGGGGTGGTGGATGCCGAGCAGGGGTCGAGGAGGGGGCCAAGCTCGGTACATGGCGACTGGCCGAGAGTGCCACACAAATCGCTCGTACCTTCAGCTTCGATGGTCTGCACCGCCTCTCGGACCAGGGTCTGCGACAAGCTCATCCAAGTCCAAGGAGGGGGTAGGGGTAGGTGGGGGGGGGGGGGAACGCGAGGGCTTCGAATGGCGATCGACACGCTTGGATAGAGGCGACAAGCACATCGTTGCGGGCGCGTATCGACGAGCTGCCCACGCCCAACTGGCCATCTGAACGACGTGAAGCCAGGCAAAGACTAGGATGCTGTGCATCCACGAAAGCCTCGGTAGCCTTGAAAATGTTTTTTTTTGTGCATAATACAATCACTTCCTGCATCGTGCAAAAATCGCCATTCTCAATATTAAGCATCACTTTGGATGACGAGGAAACTCGAAGCTTTAGGAGCTGCGGGAAAAGCTGGTGTCTCGGAACACAAGAACGTTGCAGGCGGCAATCAGTAGTGGACGATCGAAAAGGTGGGTGGGCGGTCGGTGACCAAAGACGTTTCAGTACGAAAGCTTCATTCATGCTGGAGCTTTAGCAAGGACCCATTAACCCCATCACTGTCCATGTTGCTGTCATCTGCGACTCGCCAGGTGCCTTCTTGGGACCTGGTGCACTCAAAGTCGCTTATGGTCAGCCAGCACAAGCGACAATGTCCCAGTCCAGTGTATATGTAGGCCTCCTGGGGCTAGGTACTCGCTGAATTTGGTGTCGTAGGTAATCCGCAGCGATCAGCGGCCAACGTGTGAGTGGCTTGTGTGCCTTGTTTATGTTCTACTTCGCGTGCGACGGGACTGCTTGTGACACTGGGGGACACATGTGCAGAACCGACAATGTCACCGTCCCCCGCATAGCGCGTCCGGGCATATGGCCATAGTCATTGTGGAAAATGCGTGCGCCAGTCTGTGTATTCCGTACACAACTGGTGATGCGGGATACCTGTCGCGTGGCTAATACCGAGCCTAGGTGAACAAGAAAGAGCAGGGCTGTCTGTTCATCGTCGGTGATCATTGCGCTGTGACAGCACATCAGCCGCCAAGACCCAGCGGAATGCCCTCTGTTGTGGCCGACGAGAGATTTACCTCGCTGGAAGGCCCCGAGGACTGGTACCCCACAGCGTACAGGTCGTCAACGCGCTCCTGGATTCTTTTCCTGGCTGCCTGCCTGGACTCTTCACTGGCCCGGGGCTCCGAGCACTGGGACTAGACTCATCAGGGGCTGCAGCAGGACCGCCCGCTACCCAATGGGACGCTGCCGTGGCATTTGTCGAGTGTCACAAGAACGCTGTTATTGGAGTACCCGTCAGCGACAGGAACAGCCTGGCCTGACGGACAGCGAGAGATCGAAGCCTTTCATCCTGGGGCCTGGCTGGGAGAGTGGGCGGGGGAGAATATACTGATGCCTGAGGCGGTAGCGTGCCAGCTGCCGGTCCCCTCCACCGTCCCCCAACCCTGAGTCCCAAGACGCCCCTCGTCGGTCCCAGCTGCGAGCTCGTACGACATCACTGGATGGTGACCCAGGCCGAGTCACTTAGGGGTGGGTGACCTATTGTTCGAGCAATGCATCCAGTGGTGACTCTTGCGACGTGAGCCCATAGGTCGCAATGACGGCCTCGACAGAATATGAAAACATCTGCATCGTCTGCAATAATGTCCTCGACAGGTATAGAGCACGTCAACATCGTACGTCGACAAGCAGCCGTAGTGTTGTCGCAGCACTGATGCGGACTGATGATGGTTATGTACACATTGGGTATAGGCAGGAGGCAGGCAAACGTTGAAAATGGTGACGCGATGTCAAGAGGGTTGCGGGCGGGGAAGTTGAAGACGCAGGTCACGTTGGTAGGTTGAGTTGGGACCCCGATTTCCATCAGTCAGGAAGGCGGGCATTGCAAGCTGGTGATTATCCAGCGTTACTGGTATCGTGCATCGGCGGTGCAGTGGGATGGGATGGGGCTTGGTCCTGGGACGATGCAGTGAGCCCTGAAGACTCGCACATCAAGGCCGAACTCCTAGTTTCCCAGGTCCATTTACCCTGAGATGAGGGCGGGTTGCCAGCGGACAGGCTCGGAATGGGCGGAAGGACAGAAGGGGGAGCTGAGAGGGGAGGGAAAGGCGTGAATGTTGAGGGCGAGACGTGACGGGCGGGGCAGTCCGGATGGGATGGGAGA